TAGTTGCGCCGATAGTATTTAGAATTCAACGCTGAGCTGCCGCCGTGTTCAGTGTTATAATGAATATATCTGTGTTCGTATGGAACAGTAGCTTATGTCGGGAAGCTGGCTTTAGTATAATGCGGCATTCTCTTTATTCTTTAAATGACAAGGAATTTTTTGATGAGACTTAATAAGAATATTGTCTTGCTAGTATTTCTTGCGCATTTATTTGCCAAAAGTTCTTCAACGGCTCGGCGCCGATGAGTCATTCGCAATCGTATGCTGCGAATGCCGCATTATACTAAAGCCAGCCTTTCGACATAAGCTATTATTCCATACGAACACAGATATATAGCAAACATCTTAAAAATCATATATTTAGAAACAATACACTTAGCAAAAGGAAAGTATCCAACTTATCAGCAACGTGATTCCCTGCATTATCAGTATGGCCTGGTAACGAATTGAGTCTGACCGAGAAAAATTTCCTTGGCAACGTCGAGACACTGCCGTCAAACTTCGATCCATCCGTGTAGAAATTCAGCGGTGTCATCTTGCAACTACGAACTGCTACCCGTTCGCTCATTCGTAAAGGTTATTTGAGTGTCATAGGAGCTCAAAAACCAGTCTAACCACGCAGATATCAGATAGAGTCGAAGTCGAGGGAAAATACAAACATGTGCGTAGCCAGGTAGGGGCAGGGGGGTGCTCGAGCCCCGCCCCCCCTAACTTTCAAAACTTCCTTATATATATATAAAATTGTACCCTGAAATGATAGGTTAATAGGGTCGAGCCCCTCCCCCCCCCTCCCCCCCCTAAATTTCATTCTGGCTACGCCGATGTGCGTTATATTTGTACTTTTTTAAAAGTGCGTTTACTTACATAGATGCAGATGAATTTGAATATTTGTAAACATATTTGGAGGGCATATTTTTTTAATGAGATTTCGCGAAGTAAAATATCTTGACAGAATTTGTCTTTATTTTTCATTCCATACCTAACGCTAACAGGTCTATTCTGCGCTGGTAATGCAAATTTTGTTGCCGGTAAATAAAGTACCGGTTAATTTTTAAACCCTTTTCGCATGCTGTGTACTCGTGTAACCTCTAAATGTTGTTACCATTTTATAAGCTGGTAACAAAGTATTGCCCCGTGAAATATGCAATTCCAGAATTTCCACAATTCCTCATAGCTGAATTGCTGAATATTAACTAGAATTGCGGTAACAAGAGCCGGTAAAATTTTTTGGTAATAAAATTGTACTGTTACAAAATCTTCGGTAACGTGCAGAATAGACCTGCAAAAGTCGCACTAAACATTTTAACGCTATTTTGTAGTGAGTGTAGTTTGAATGATAGAAGAAGTGGTCGGGTGTTTCGTTGAAATTCGTTGCTGAAATAATAAATGTTAATATAAAATGTTGAAAAATTTATTACACGTAAAAAATACTCACTTACTATGGCTCAGCTGCCACTTTTCTTCAAGAAATATATTTGGTCGTATTTATGAATTTATTCGCGAAGCCTGCGTTTCCCTATTCATAGTTTTCATCAAAGAAGAGAGAAAACGGGAGTACATACTTTTCTTTGAGAGCTAATTTCTTCAGTGATTTTTTATATGGAGTTTTCGCATTTTTTGAGAGCTGGATACCAAGGAGTTAATCACATTTCTAGAAAATTTTCCACAATAAGCATTCGAGGTGCATATATGTGAATACATTAGGGCGGCTCAAATTTTTTATAATATATGAAAGTTCGTATATACATATAATTTTTTTAAACAATCCTTGTAAAAAAATGTGAACATTTAGCTTTTAAATTTCTGTGCTTCAATATCCTTGAAGAATTTATTTGATATTGTTAATTTTTATTTAAACTATTCACTCCATATTCACTAGCCAATCATTTTCACAATTCAAACCAATGTTCTCTAACACCTGCACTATTTTTAGCGCTTAGTCGCGATCTTCGACACGCAGATAAAATGCACCCCCACCAACATTTAACTCGTCTTTGAAAATAGTTAGGACGCCTTTTATAATGCCACGCGGTATTTGATTTGGCCAAGATTCAGTGTCGAATTCCAAATTTTTTATGTAGTATTCACCTTTTGGTATAGGACAAAGACCAGCCTGGGTTACAACTGGGAAATTGGTAATCTTGCCTTGAATAAACGACGGCTGCAGCACTTGGCCATAATAACCTTTGATGCCCTCACAAATGGTGGTGCGCGGCACACCCATAGGCAATCGCTTGAACTGATCATCGCCCTGTGGTGAGGAAAATAGCTCTACTTGAACCTTGTAGTGATCGCTAGCCATGTCTTCGTCGAATGTAATGGTGCCGTTAAGTAGACGTTGTCGGCCGATTAATTTTATTTCACTCATATGAAATTTGGTCTCCTTAAAGCCATTGAAATGTTCGACACCTTCATTTTTCACAGTATATGATCGCTCTGCCTAAAATTATTTCTAGTAAATCGTAGTTTTGTTCAGAGAATTCTTCAAGCTTTACCTTTGATAATTCACTCAGCGCACAAAGGATGGCAATTGCGAACGCCGAGTACTTCATGCCGAGGGAAGTGCGTTAGCAATGACAGTGGAAACTTTTCTATGTAAATAAAATTTTCATCAGATTTTCAAAACAATATCAATTACTGTTTGACTCGCCCGGTATATATAGGTTTATTTTATAAGCGACTGCCTAAAATCATTGATAGCACAAAAACATGAAAATCGCGTTTCAATATGCGTTTTGATTTTAATTAAGTTTCAATATTTATGATACAGTCAAGGCATATCTATGAAACAGGTAGCAGCATTAGAGCAAAACATTTATATCGTGTATTTTGTTGTTGCTTCTGGTCTCTGAAGTGCCAGAAAAGTATTCTGATTTTTTTAATATCAAAATATGCCATGTGAAAAAAACTAGGCGAAATTACCAAAAGTTTATTTTCAATCGCTTCTTTGCATGAAAAAAGGTTTTGAATGCAAATCGATTTTTACAATTCAGAATTTTTGTAAACGAAATTAAGAAGATTTCAGATTTTTGAGACCAAATATAGTGGAAAAAAATTAAAACAGCTGCTTTACTGCAACCACCTGTTCAAAATGCCTTTTTCTGGTAGGCAAATGTTTAATGTATCTAAAGTGTAACAAAATATTAATTATAACAAAAAGATTTTTTTCTCCTAATCTACATATTTTAGTTTAGGGTATTGAGTACTCATTTAAAATAATTTAACACTAAAGCCGAATTTTCACTTGGCATTGAAATGAAAAAAATATATTCCATTTATGAAATTGTATGTGCAAACAGACAGTATGACCATGTTTATGAACGTAAGGGCACGAGTATTTTTTAATGCCCAACATTGTCATTACAATTTTTTTAATTTAATGCCCAGTGGAAATTTAGCATAAGCTTCAATTACTCATACAATGAGTTATACATCACGTTTTTTATTACAGTTGTTGATTTGCAAACATGCCATTAGAATTCCAATGAAAAGAGAATGTATTTTTTGCAAATTACAATTTTATATGTGGCTCTTTAGCTCTCCATTAAATGTAATGTTAGCAAATGATAGCCTACATTTAATTAAATTTATATTTCGATCAGATATGAATGACATTGTACAAAACCGCTTATTGTTATAAGCGCTAACGTGGCGATCCCATCTTTCAAAGCTGGACATTGTCAAATTCCAGACATTGTTGCACGATTCCGCTACAACATACGTATGAATGTATGTATGTTTATATGTATATGTATTTTTAAATACTCCAACAGCATATTCCCTGTTCTCCGTAACTCTTTTCTTGCCGCCTAACTGCTCTGTGCCAAATGGTCTTCAATGATTTGCCTCAGGTAAAGGTGTACTGCGCTTTCGATATTAGCCTCTCATCTAACTTGAGTTTTACTGTTTTTTGAAGAAAAATTTTTAGCCGGATAAGCCTCTAATATTTCGATTATACAACACAGATTTTTTTCCTGTCTTTGGCGACAACATCACTTTGCAGTCTTCCACGCTTCCATGATGTTGGTATAATATCGACAAATTACAAAAAAAAAAAAACCTACTAGTATTAAATGACTCATGTCCTGGAGGCCACTCGGCTCGTAGTCATAAGGCGCAAGGAAAAAATTCGGACAGTTAAGCGGCCTTGAAAGCTTTAAAGTCATGTATTGACAACACAAATTCTCTCACTCCAAGCAGCAAAAGAACGCTGGGGCAATCTCTCCTTCTGTGAAACCGCTAGGCTTACATGGCGTTCTTACGACAAAAAATGCACGTCTGTACTCGCAGGAGAACAAATATTGCATATGGCATCACAATCGGCTTGCCCTTGGCCTAAGTCTAGGGGAAGGTATTTGCTCTAACCATTAAACTGATCCTTCAGTTTTCGGCCATGTTTGCTCCGATGCTGGAATTATGGACAGTAGATATATGTAAACTGTGAAGCGAAGATCAAACGATTTGTACGTTTGTGTTGCTTAGAAATGAAAGAATTTCCGAACGACACCACCCTGTAACTGTCAAAATGTACAAATCGTGTGATCCCTGCTTAAGAATTTTTTCGGAGACTTACGCTGGATTTCCACTAGGCATTAAATGACACAATTTTTAATGACAATGTTGGCCGGCCATTATGTCCGTTTCTACATGGCATTTTTTAAATGGCATAAACTTTTTGTAATTTTAATGCCTAACGAAAATTCGACATTGGATTTTTTTACCAGACGATTTTTTAAGGCAGAAATACATTCATAGGGTTGCCATTTGGCCGACTTCAAAAAAGAAGTTATCACTTCGGCGCATATTTTTTGTTTTTTGTACCCACGGTAACCGATTTTGATAATTCTTCTTTTATCGGAAAGATGTTGTTTCAAGGTGGTCCTATACTAACTTACTTTAGATCCGATCATTGGGTCGTGAAGAAATTTATGGTACTCCTAAATTTGAACATCTTTTTTTGACGTCCATATTGTAATACTTCATTAAAGTAACTGATTTTTAAGTAGACCCTTAAACAGGCGATAACCCCTTTTAAAATTATTTTCGATGTAAGGCCTTCCTAAGCATATTTTGGTTTACCTGACTTCCTCATACCTCTTTCGATAAAAACTCACACGGTTGGCAACCTTGTGAAACTTCCCATATTGTGAAGCTTCATTTAATTTATTTATAAAATTGATTTAAGAATTTTTAAATAGGAGAAAATTTGATTAAATACATTTTCGCTCTACAAGTATTTTTAAGGTAGAGTTTCGTTGAACTTATAATTTGAAATAAAATTTATTTTTTTAAGCAGGTGGCAACCCACTTTAAATATAGTATGCTCTGTGTTAATCTAAATTTTATCAATAACATACTTACACCAAACATAATTACACAATCAGCTTATCGACTTAATTAGTTTTATATTCTTGCGCTGCTGGCAACCCTCGTCAAACGTATTTTCGAAATTGATACAGCTTTCTTAAAACCTTTTTTGAAATAAAGCTTTCTTAAGCCTTCCTCGAGCGAAACCCATATCAAATACTACCTTGTTAATTACACTGTGTTACCCTTTTCAAGAGGTGGCAACCATCTTAAACAATATTTTCATAAAAAAAGGTCCTAGAAAGATATATCTTTACAGACGCACTGTTGTAATATTTTTTTAACTAATTCAATAATCATTATTAAAATTTTAACAGAACGCAGCCTTCCTAAAAATACTCCCGCCGAAATCGTTTTTGAACCTTTTTTCTTTTGACACCCACTATGTTTTAATATTTTATTTAACTTAATATTTGATTGAGTTTAACTTTGAAACATGTGGCAACTCTTATCTAAAAAAAAATATCCTCTATATTAATCCAGCTTACAACCTATTTGTGTGCCAAATTTCATTGAAATCCGTTCAGCCTAACTTACTCACAAACATAAATTTTGCACACAAAAAATGAATATGTTCGCGAAACTATGAGCAGAATATAGTAAAACTAATTGGTTTAGTTTTTCTTTTTGAAGTCACAATTTTTTTGAAAGGACTTTGAAGTTTCAAAAATATGATTAATTCAAAAAATTATTTCAACTAAAAGAGACGATTTTTTACAATTAAAAAATATTAAACTTTTTAGTGCACAAGAACGGATGGGTATAGAAAATGTGCTCTTAAAATTTTGTCCTTGCATATCCTTAAAACTTTAATATTTATTTTTGGAAAAATTACATGTAAGGGCCTGATTTATGTACACACGACCACATCCTCGAATTTCATCCTCCTAATTTTATTAGCTTAAAAAAAATAAGAGTATACTATTTATTGATTTCTTATAATCCAATTGTCACTCCGACAACTCGATTGATAGCTTCTGCATCTGCATTATGGAACCTGCCAACTATAGCTTTTATGCCTCTGAAAGGACAACTTAAGAAAGGATTTCATATTTTCACAGCACGGCAGTCGAAACATATTACATACACTTACGTACGAAATAAATGCATAAGCAATATACATGTACAAATAAATGAAAATATCTCCCCTATTTATGACCCTTCAAATTACTTCGGGCAATATTGTGACCTGCACGGCCCCACGAAGTACGGACACAGCAAAATCAAACCTCCTTACCTTAAATACACCATCTGTAAATGTGACCATTTCAGAAATACCATCGGTCTTTAACTGAACTTAGCCAAAGTAGAAGAAATTCTTCTTATTGGGGTCTTGGACACACATTTCTTCTTTTAATTTTTCAGAAAATTTTTCATAATAAATATTCGACATTCATGCCAAACATCCACCCAATCTCAAGATTCCGCATTCCTTTTTCCCAGTTAGGCCCCACTTCATTTCAATTTAAAAACAATTTTAATTATTTGCTGCGAACATATGTATGCACGAATATGTACCTATGTATGTATGTACTACCACATTTATTTATAATATTCACTTCATATTCAATAGCTAATAATTTTTAAGTACTAACTACCAAAGTCAATACGCTATCTCCTGCGCTTATTCACGATCTTCGATACGTA